TCTGCCATTGTTCGACTATCGATCAGTTGGTGAGGTGAAAAAGAGTTGTGTAGTTAGTGCGACGAGTAACGTAACGTATACAGCTACTGCATACGTTGAATACCACAATAATATACAACTGAATAATAATAATAAAAAATAATAAAACAAATAAATAAAAATAAAACTAAATGAAATAAAATAAAAGTGCATACATCAATAACTATATACATTAATCTATAAATTTATAATATTATTTCTCTAAAAGTTTAAATAATAAACATATATAGAGAATAAAGGAGTATACACAATATACACATTTGAAATTGTATATGACTTCATTTATTTGTAAATTTATAAAGAAATTGATAGTTGAAGTGTTTGTTATATTCAAAAATAATAAAATTTATAAAAAAATAGAAATAATTTTAAAAATATCAATAAATATCAATATTATATAGAAACTAAAATTATAAATTAGATAACTAATATAAATTACTATTAAAAATGTTTTTGTTCTTAATTCTCCAAACTCATTTTACGGCATCTTATCTACATCTCCCCAAGCGGAACTAGTAGAACTCGCCTTTGAGTAATAGTTGTGGACAGTAGATTGAAATTCTGTTATAAATTACTAAGCTGCTTGATCATCTGGCACTTGATCTACATTTCCATTTTCGGTACCGTAGACGCAGCCAATGAGCAGCAATTTTAGAAATCTGTACCTTGTTAACTTATGTTTACTAACACACAGTCTTTTATATTTGTTATTTTATTCACTGGCTGATGCCTTAGTCCGGACTTTTGTGTGTACGCGCTCTCTACGTATAGGGAGGTGGCCCTATCAGTCGACAGGGGCGGGTGTGAGAGACGAGGGAACGAAGGAAAAAAAATGGTTTCTAAAATATATGCTAGATTTGAATACCAAACCTTGTGCTTCCTATTTTAACTTGCTTTTAAATAGGAAGCACAGCAGAGAACGAGCTGTCTGATTCTTTAATAGAAACAAAATTAGAATCAATGGATAAAGATTGGAGCAAAGTACGCAGTGCATTTGAAAGTGTCTATTTTAATGATGGAGATCAAGATTGTAAATTGAGAACTAGGGATATGTTTGCGTCCATCAAAGGCAATTATCAAACGACAACGGCCAATTTGTTGGAAATATTGAAAAATAGAAAATTTAAAAGTAAAATTGAAAATTTAAAGGCGACATGACAAACCCTACACTGTTTATTAGTTCAAATACCACATTTGATATGTCCGCTATTTGTATTTAAGTTCCACCTTGTGACACCAAGACTTCTATGGAAGCTATGAAGAATGAAGAATTTTTTGTTAGCATGGGAAGCTTTCTCAGTGCGGTACAAAAGCATTGGGATAATAGTTGACAATCAATTGAAGATTTTATTCAAGAGAATTCAATCTACAGTTAGCGACTGCCAAGCTATATTAAAAGCTCATAAGATAGTAGTTAACCAATGGGATCCTATTTTATTATATTTTTGTTTAACAAAGCTTCCTTTTGAAACTTTGACCCTTTGGGAACAATGGCTCGAATCATATTCAGAGCTACCCAAATGGAGGATTTCCTAAAAAATGAAATGTAGCGGCTTCACCTGGTTTTAATCATGAGTATTACGCGCATCAAAATGCGCAATCGATACTATCTTTTAGATGTATTATGTGTAATAAAAATCATATACTCAAAAGTTGTTCAAGATTTAATAGTATGAGTGTTAGTGAGACAATTTAATACATAAAGAAAAAACGCTTAAAGAGTGGACATAACACAAGGGATTGTTTCATAACGTACCCTGTACTTCGAACTGTACGCCACAAAGCTACAACACAAACTGCGCTCGCAAAAATCAAGTGCAATGGTAAACCTTTCACAGTTAGCGCTTTATTAGATACTGGATCTAAACGATCATTAAAACAAGAAAAGAGGAAAACAGAATTGGGCGTGGAACAAGTAAGACTAATTTCAATGTTAGCGGAATAAATGTTTCAGTAGTTGCATATACGAATAACATGCAACATTACTTTGTGTGGAAATGCAAACAGTGTGTTAAAGTGAACGCTTTAGTTATTGAAAATATAACAAGAAAGAATCTCTCTAAATCAATTCCAATGTCTAAGCTAAATGAAATCCGCGATGTAAAACTTGCAGATCCTTTTGTCTTACAATAAAGTAAGATTGATGTGTTAATTGACAGTGACATATTACCATCATATTGAATTGAACTAAAATGAATGTGTTTGAGAGTATGATAGCTCTTGTAGTCTATCAAGTCGATCCTCAATTAGATGTAATGGAACATGATCCTTTACGATTACCTTATTTATCTTCCTGTAATCTATACACAGTCTATGAGTTCCATCACGTTTCCTCGTCAATACTACTGCACCACAAAATTTTGAGTTTGACACTTCGATTATATCTTTTGCGAGCCATTTTTATACCCTCCACCATACTATGGAGGGTATATTAACTTTGTCATTCCATTTGTAACTCCTCGAAATACTCATATCAGACCCAACAAAGTATATATATTCTTGATCAGCGTAAAATTCTAAGTCGATTTAGCGATGTCCGTCTGCCTGTCTGTGTGTCTGTTGTAATCACGCTATCTTTCGAATGAATTGAGATAGATGGCTAAAATTTTGCACACATGTTTATTTTTTCAGTAGGCAGGTTAAGTTCGTAAATGGGCCATGTAGGTCCACGTTTTCATATAGCCCCCATATAACGGTACCTCCCTATATTCGATATTTTGATGATTTTAGCGATATTATTCACGGGAATTGTTTCAAATTTGGTATTTGAAGTTCGTTATAGGAACTACGGTCTGTGACAGAAAATTGTCTGTGCGGGTCCAGGTCTTCATATAGGCCCCATATATCAGTACCTCCCTATATTCGGTATTTTGACGATTTTAGGTACAATACCCACTGAAGTTGTTTGAGATGTGGTATTTGAAGTTCGTAATAGATGCTACAGCCTGTGACAGAAAATTGTCTATGCTGGCCCAGGTCTTCGCACAGCTCCAATTTAACGGCACCTCCTTATATACGATATTTTGATGATTTTAGCTACATTATTCGCCGTTTATTTCAAGTTTCGAAATTGCTTAATGGCTTATGACAAACAATGCCTATGTATGTCCACGTCGTATAGACCCCAAGATAACGGCTATATTCGGTATTTTTAAAATTTTAACAGAATTTTTTAAGGATTTTATTTTTTAAAAATTTCCAAATTCGTTGAAAATGGTGGAAGGCATTAAAAGTTCCGCCCGGACGAACTTACTGCTTTTTAACTTGTTCTATTTGGTCTTCGACAATATATCTCTCAGTTAAAGGAAGTCGACGTGGGCTGCAAAATATAGGATCGTCCTGATTTAATACATGGTACAATAAGAAGGTAGAACAGCTTCGCAAAACTACAGAAATACACCCTTGAACCCATGTCCGCTTCCTGTCAAATTTGTATGTAACAAGTTTTTTCCATTTATTCGATATTTTTCCTCATTTTTAAAATAAGTTAAATAGCGCGAAAAATAAGTTAAATGTCTGGATTTTTGATCTTTCAAATTCATAGCAATACTGATGAATAGCTTTAATGTGCATCCCGCAATAAACGTTTCTTACAATAATTTTTTCAAAACAATGAATTATTGGTAAAATTGGCAGAAGTCAAAACACTTAGAAAAATTGTAATCAGCTGGTTGGTTTTTGGTGTACCATGAATTGATGTAATTCTAATATCCACGTTCGTTCCTTTCGTCTTTTCGGGTCGATAGTTGTTGATCATAATAATAACTTTTCTCTTAGCGTCATCACTTGCCGTTTTTCCGTTTTTCCGATATCAAATTCCGTGTCCTTTGCGTAGTTCTAAATATCCAATGCCATCATGCATTAACTTTTTCAGACTGTTCATCTTTCAATTTACTAAACTGCATTTGTTCCGGTAATGGTTATTTCAGCGTACGAGCAAAATTGTTTTCCAATAATAAATGTAAACTTTATGCATATATAACTTGCATGGTATAACCTGAAAACATAACGCGTATTTCCCACAATCTATTTCGAATTCATATTCAAAATATCAAATTGACTTTATTTTGTTATTTCCAAATTCGACTAGGCAAAAGTTTGCTTTAGTTAGCTGAGGCCTATTCTGATATTTTTAAACGTTTTCAGTTACGATGTTAAACCTACGTCCAGTATCGAATAAGGCTAACCATTTCTTATCGCCAAACTTAACATCTATTTTCATGTCTTTGTCTGAATTTATTTGTCGTAGTATTTCGAAATATGATCGTAATTGTTGCAATTGAAGCACTTCATTCCTTTTTCAATATTTCGGCATTTTTTGAATGTATTACTCTTGCCGCCAAAATAAAAGTTTATAATTTCAGACTTCTCTGATTTATTTGTTGCTTTTCGTTGAACTGGCTCAGAATATTCTTTATCGCTGTTGATGTCTGCAACTTTTTATAAGATCGAAGTTTCTTAAAAACATTTATCTCATTTTTGACATTTTCCTTTCCATCAACATTTTATGAAGTTGGCAACTATTTACCAAGGTATCGAATTCGACCAATAAAGCCTTTTTAATTGTTGATATGACGTAATGACTCTGTCAGTGTTTATGAACAATTTTGCTATGTATTTCAAAGAACGTTTTGCAAAAATAAACATTTGAAATGATCCCAACACATTACCCTGGCATTCTCCTCAAATTCCTCCAGCCACGAGCGAACTGACAAATTCTTACCTCTATCAAAATTTGTTATTGTGTCGTCTAATCTCTGTGACTGCAGACATGTAATAATATCTTTATTGCTCTCGTAGTCTTTATTATACATACCATTCATGGATTGCCGTTGTACATGTTGTTGTGTCTCTCCATTGTTGTTGCTGTTCTACATAAGAACTTTGCTTTGCAAAATTTGACTAACGGCAATAACATTACATCTGCTCATTCTAACTGGGAGTAATTTCTTCTCGGTACAATGGTTAAATCATTGTCATTGGTCGATTCAGGTTCGTCATCATAATACTCATCAAGGTAGATTTAACAGGTAACCGCATCGGCGAATTGCTACAACAAAGCAACTTTTGTGGTATCCTCAAATGTCAAAATTGGCATCCAAGGCGTAAACATACATTCGCCATGACATTTAAAGTTTGCGGCAAATTTGTTTCAACCAATCAGAAACGAGGTGTTGGTTTACATTTTATGTTGTGTGTGGAAATTAAACCAAGTAATAATACGACTCTCGGGGACCACTGCAACAGCCCCAAGTTGATAATTAGCCCCCGAAATATTTATACAAGTCCACAACTGTAATATTATCTACGTCATCGACAAATACCACTAATATTCCAGCCAATGTTGGTTACACCGACTCTAGCACATGGCACAACAGTAGCAAGTATTCCCGATCAAATGGTTTTAAAGAAAGAACAAAACACCAGTAAAAGCCCTTTAAGAATGTCGAGCAATCAAGCTAGTAGCCACTTGGTGGATACCAAGCACTCTTGGTAGCAGAGCCGATGCAAATTCCCCAAACAATACAAAGAGTTTTCCCAGACCACAGAGAGCAGGGGCTAGTGGAAGTTTGGATAAGACCAAATAAGTCATAGCTCTCGTAAAAAACTGGATCAGCAAAGGATAATGCCTACACATTTAACTTTATAATTGAATCGCCCAATCATGAAAAAGTCTCCAACTATGAAATGGAACTGATGAACCTCGACCAAGAACATTTGGGCACTCCGGAAACAGATTACTCCTGTGTTGTACGCATGCATTCAATGGAATTTGCACGCTTCCGAGAATTGGCGCAATTCTGTGAATCTATGGTTATCTGTTGTACCAAGGGAGGTGTAAAATTTTCGGCATTTGGTGATGTTGGTTCGGTAAATGTTAATTTGGCACAAAATTCAAGTGTGGACAAAGATGATGAGGCAGTCATTATTAAAATGCAAGAGCCTATCCCCTAACATTCGCCTGTCGTTACCTAAATGTCCTTTGTGTGGACAAATACAGTTGTCCATGTCGGCCGATGTACAATTGGTGGTGGAGTACCGTATACAAGATTTGGGCCATTTACGTTATTATTTGGCGCTTAAAACTGAACACGACGAAAGTTAAGCAATTCAGGAGAGTGAAGTGTACAGCAAATAAGTAGTGTTATTAAAATATATTGATGAATATTTATTCATTTTTAAAAAAGTTTTTATTGTAAAACACTTTTAGTGAAGAAGACATAAACAATCTTTGTTTTGCATTCATTCAGGGCGAATTCAGCATTACAACAACTTGTTTTGACATTTAAAGGTGCCGTCAGCTGGGGCGATGCGACTTCCTAATAGATCTACATTACGTTTGACTCTCTGCGTTTGTTAGCAGCATATCTTTCTTGAGATTTTGTGAATATGTGAGAACACAAATTCTCGACATCGTTACTCAAACATTATAAATTGCGAATTGAGACTAGATCGGCTGTTGACAAGTTCTGTTTAATGTATTTGACTTTTTCTCCATACTTAGGGCTGTCCTCTGCATACTCGAAGCCTTCAAAGTTGCATAATCGTCATCGGTTTGATCGATCTCTTACTTCACCAAAGATAAATTTATGCTGTCCCGCTGTTATTGTCCGTTTAGCCGTAGACAAACTGTTGCGTATGACAACAAAATCTCCCAGAGTTGGCATCGCTGTTGTTTTACTCTGTTCGTTCGAACTTTTTCAAATGCGTTTTTTTCTTGTTCCTCTTTTGTGAGTCAAGGTTAAATTAAAGTTACAGTTTTCTAATTGTTGTATTTTACTCCGAACAGAACCGTTATTTTAAACATACAAACATATAAATATAATTTTATTTTTTTCTATGACACAAATGCTGTTTCTGAAAAAGTAACCTCTTCTCCAGAATATTGTTTAAATAGTCTGTGGAGATTTAAAAAATTAAATGAGCGATATTATTTCACAATAACACAAGTTAAACGAACGGTTAACACAACCACAACAGTTTTCATGTATTTGTAACATTTGTAACGTAACACTCTGCAAAAATGGATTTGGCATTCTTTATGTCTTTTTAGCGTTTAGTTTCTCGACATTTATATTTTTCCTGATCGTGGTTGAGTCCTGATATTTATAGGGTTCCTTTTAAGTAAACTCAACTGCGCTTGTAAAAATCAAATGGTAAACCTTTCACTGTTTGTGCTTTATTAGATACTGGATCTAAACGATCATTAAACCAAGTAAAGTGGCAAAGAGAATTGGGTGTGAAACAAGTAAGTCTAATGCATATACGAATAACATGCAACATTACTTTGTGTGGAAATGCAAACAATGTGATAAAAGTGACCGCTTTTATTAATGGAAAATATAACAAGAAAGAATATCTCTGAATCAATTCCAATGTATAAGCTAAATGAAATCCGCGATATAAAACTTGCAGATCCTTTTGTCTTATAATGAAGTGAGATTGATATGTTAATTGACAGTGATATATTGCCATCCATCATATTGAATGGAACTAAAATAAATGTGTATTTTGTTGGCCAATGTTGAGATTATTAAATATGGGTTTATTGGGCTTTTATGGTCAAGTTAATTAAATGAAAATAAACGAATTTATTTCATATTATGCTCAACGTTTCGTTGACTTGTTTCCAACTTTTTCAAAAGCGTTTTTTTTATTGAATTCTGGTTATAAATGAGAAACATATTTCATTATAAGAATTTTGTTTGGTGACATATTACACTTTAAATTTAACTTACATCAATAATTATGCATTATTTATTTCTTATTAATATTAATAAAACGGGACTCCACAACATTTTATTAATATAAAGTAAAAATAAATAATCAATAAAATATGAATCACAGTTAAACTTAAGCTAAATCACAGAACCGTTTCTAAATAATCGCAATAGAATACTGTAGTTTAGTATTATCTTTGTCTTCTTTGGTATTTATTGATCTGGCAATCCTTTGTTGTATTCGTAGACTTTCCAATGTATATCTTTTGTTCTCCTTCTTTTCCCTATCTAAAATTTTGACATTTGTTAGATCAGCTGCGTGGCCACTCTCCGTTGTGTGTTGTGACAGTGCTGTTTTTGCTAATCCTTTATTAATAACATTTTGATGATCTCCTATTCTTACACCAAGCATTCTTTTTGTTGTGCCCACATAAACGTTCCCACATTTCTCTTTCTCATTGCCATTGCATGTAATTTCATATACAACGTTGTGTTGTTTTTGTTTGTCTTCTTTTGTTTTTGTGCGTTTGAAGATCTCTTGCATTGTCTGATTGGATTTGTGTGCTATCATTGTTGTTGTACTTTTAATTATTTGTTTGAGGTTTTTTGTTTTTGTTAAATTTGGCAGCTACGGTACACTCACAAAAATTTGTTCATTTGATTTATTGGTTTTTTCTATATTTTTGTTTTCTTTGTTTTTGCAGTCAATGATTATTTTAACTACCTCTGCGGCTGCATCAATATGAATGCTATTCAGACCCGCTTGATAGGTTTCATGATCTAGGGGCTCTCTCTTATATCGCTGGACATCTCTCTCTAGATCATGCAGGTTCTTCCTGACACGCCTGGGTGGGGGAGTTCTATCCACCATATGGTGGTTAGGGTGACTCCCACGATAACACCCAAGCGGGTACTGCAACGAAAGCATATCATTATGCTGACGTAAGGGAAGAACCTTCGTCTCCTCATGTAAGTGGTCCACAGGAGGCATGAGGAGGCACCCTGTTGCAGTTCTCAGGGCGGCATTCTGGCAGGTCTGAATACTTTTCCACTGCGTTGCACTCGTATTCGCCGACCACACTGGAGCCGCATAGCTAACCACAAACCGACCTATCGCTTTATAAGAGATCAACAAGGTTTCCTTATCCGCACCCCAAGTGCTGCCGGCTATCTCCTTGAGCACCTTGTTCCTACTTTTCATTTTATCGCAAATAGCTGTGGCTTGTGCGGAAGACTTGAACATGCTATAGAATGTGACCCCAAGGATTTTGGGGTAGTTGGTGGTCGGTATTATGTGCCCCTCGACCTGCACATTCAGCTGTGCTCTCATCTCCGCAGTCAATGTGGTAAATAGTGTGGCCGTCGATTTAGTGGCGGATATTTTCATATTCCTCGCATGGAAGAAGGCGGCAAGCTCCGCGAGATAGCTTTTCACCCTGACACATATGTCATCAACTACAGGACCCGACGCCATGATCGTACAACCATCCGCATAAGTTACGATCTCGATGCCGTCTGGAGGTCGCGGAATTCCGGAAAGGTAGGAGTTAAACAGTTCCGGAGATATCACCCCACCTTAGGGAACTCCCTTCCACGTACGACTGGCGTCCACACATATAGTTGACTATCCAACGTTTCAAACTTGGCCGGGGGTAGTGTTCTCAACGTCCTCGAACAGCGTGGCATGGTTGACCGTATCAAAGGCCCTTGATAGGTCGAGAGCCACCACTACTGTTCTGTGGCACGGCCTGTTCTGGTTGAGTCCTCGACTGATATGTGTGGATATGGCGTGCAATGCTGTTGTAGTGCTATGTAGTGGACGAAAGCCGTATTGATGGTTAGCAACTGAATAGCTTCCTCTGATACTGGGGAGGAGTAAGGCCTCGAGAGTCTTTGCTACTGGCGACAAAAGCGAAATTGGCCTGTATGATTCGTTTTTGCTGGCATCCTTGCCAGGCTTGCCCAACGCTTTAGATGACTAAGCGTTTCGGATGACATTCGCAACATCATCCATCGTAAACTGTGGAAGTACATCCTCGGCGGGAAGAGCTCTTATACGACGTAGTACTCTTCGCCTCGCCCTATCACTCTCGGGGTGCTCGACAAATTGGAGGTTAAAACAGCCAGCGCACCTCTTCGGATCAGTCACAGTTACGTCGTTAAATGTGACTGCTGTCCTATCATCCTTTTTCCCAGGGTTCGAGAGTGACTTTACCGTTACCCACAGTTTACTCAAATCGGTTCCAATGTTGCAACACTTCAGATGGTCTAGCCACTTTTTCCGCTTATGCTCCTGTACCAACCTGTTGACTTCCACTGTCAGTTCACTGACTCTGGGATCAGTAGGGTTGGTATGTAGGAGCTAATCACGCTCATTCGCTAATCCCGGGATATACACATGAAGCACCTCTACCTCAGCAGTTCCACGTCTTCGTATAGCCCCATATAACGGTACCTCACTATATTCGGTATTTTGATGATATTAGCGCCATTATTCACCGGAATTGTTTCAAATTACGTATTTAGAGTTCGTAATGGATGCTACAGCCTATGACAGAAAAGTGTCTATGCAGGTCCAGTTCTTCGTATATCCCCCATATAACGGTACCTCCCAAAATTCGGTATTTTGATGATTTTAGCGCCATTATTCACCGGAATTGTTTCAAATTACAAATTTAGAGTTCATAATGGGAAAGTAAAGCGTTGGGACAATCGAAAAAATAAATAAAATAATAATTTAGACTGGAGTGTGAAATAATAAAGTTACAATTTTAAGATCAACTGTTGCTGTGTGCTGAATTATATTTCTATTATATAGGAACAAAACATTAAATGCGTGTGTCTCATTTAAGAATGGTAACCATTTAAATTAGGACGCGGTGGGATGATATCGTGACTCATAAGTTCTGCCGGGCTACCAAGACTCATTGATTAGTCACGGAAGCTCGTTGGACTGTAGCGCGTGCTTCGACTTTAGTCTTCTGGGTCAAATAGAACAAGCGTGCAACAGGAGTGAGCCTGTAGTTGTTGATGTACTCGGCCGTGAACATTTCTCGGAATGTTGGCCGATAAATACTTTGGTGTCGCATGGAGGAAGGTTGAAAGAACAACTTGAACTATGCTCAGGATGGTAATGGTGGTGGGGAATATTAGGTTCTTTTGTAGCTTCTTGAGAATGGAAATACTCCAGGAGTTGAGTCAATTTCGTAAATGAGCCACGTAGGTCCAAGTTTTCATATAGCCCCCATATAGCGGTACCTTCCGATATTCGGTATTTTGATGATTTAGCGACATTATTCACCAGAATGGTCTCAAATTACGTATTTAGAGTTCGTAATAGGAACAACAGTCTGTGAAAGAAAATTGTCTATGCAGGTCCAGGTCT